ACTTTACGCCCAATTTCTATAAGGTAAATTGTAATGTGTCTTGAAGCTTTTAATATTATCACAGATGTCTGAACGGGTCTCTGCCCTTGAGGCTTTCTGACCAAGTTTGGACCAGGAATTGATAATGACAGCAAATAAATATTTGGAAATGAGCATGTAAATTATTGTAAAAAAGCTCTTTAAAATTCTCATCGAGGTTATAGATTAAAATCTCCTGTATGAAAGCAACACGCGCTACTGGGTCATTATAATTTAAACACTTGCATGATTATTTTTCTGTCCCAACTTAATTATGCAGTGAACTGGAAAGACAAAAAATACATAGAATATCTTGGGGTGTGTGTGAATATAGAGGTGTGGTGAGAGAGTTGAGGTTTAAATAGATGCTGTTAGTTTTTACGTCCTTTGTCGCACAGCGTCGTTAAGAACTTATGAATATGTAACAGAAGACGATGCAAAACCCGCAGCCCTTGTTAATAATGCGACTTTTAAGCACCATTATGTTTAGGTCCAGAAGACAGAGACAACCCCCTTTGTTTCTAATAAGCCACCCTCCTTCGTTCTGCAATCTTCCCCACCCCCTCTACAGTGGTGATTAATGCAATCACGTCACGTAGGGAACGTAGCTGCGGAAGAAGGGCGACTAAAGCAGCAAGCATGAACCCTGGGAGGCTCCAAACCGCTATGAACATGCCCGGAATGGAGCAAAGCACAACCTTCTTAACAATGTTACAAGTTGCAGGAGGAAGGTAATTGGAATGCGAAGCTGTGAATTGATTCTTTTTCTTTTTTGTATGCGGCTGGCATCGGGTGATGTTGTAAATATAAACTCTGTTTATACGTTTATATAATGACGCGGTCACACATTTAATCACCTGCGCTCAGACACATAGGCCGTATGATTAGTACGAACAATGAATGGGAAAGAATGCGGAAGGAACTACTTCCATTTATTGCGTAAATGTACCTTTCATAAAGAAAACACAGAAACTGCATGTCACGCTAGTAAGGGGGTTGGTACAGAAGCAAACTCAGAGTAAACAAAGTCTATGACAAAAAAAATCCTTCAAAATATGTCAGTTCTCATCACATAGAAGCAGAATCTAAAGAGCACACTGAATTCGAGAAGTGATCATCACTTTCAAACCTGTATCATTTAGCTTCCATCTCTTATCTAAAAAGAATGTATGTGTGATGAAAACTAATATTTCTTCTTAAGTAAAGGGCACAGGCTGGGTGTGATTGAGAACACAGTATTGAGGAGAATGTTTGGAAAACAGAGAGGAAGTAACGAGACGATGAACAAAAATGCGTAATAAGGAATTTCATAAGTTTTATTCATCGCCAAATAATATTAGGGTGGTTAAATCAAAGGGGGTGAGAGGGGAATGTAGCGTGCATGGGGCTGATGAAAAATGTCCTGCAGATTTTTCGTCGGAAGACCGGAAGAGAAGAGACCGTTTAGAGGCGTAGATGAGAGGATAAGAGGAAGATGGATCAAAAGGAAATAGGGTGTGAACTGCTTTGAAGTCACTCAGGGTAGATATGCTGGTGGATTTTACGTGCACAGTAATGAACCTTGGAGTTCGACACAGGATGCGGAATTTTGTGACCAGTCTCCGTTGCCGGGAACCGAATCCCGCTCCTCCAGCTCCTAGCCCTTTATTTAAACAACGAAACTGTCACGGTGCAGTATTTACAATCCAAAATTTGTTTTGACCATCTATCTCTTGATCTATGAATTGAACTTACTCTAAGACAATATTCCCATGCCTTTCTGTATGTGAAAGCAATAGATTTTTATTTTCTTGGGCTTAGCATTTGGGTTTTACTTCACTTTTATTTTTATCTAATAGAAAATAACTCGTCATAGATTTGACAAATTTCACCTCAGCTGCCGGTATATGATTCTGGCCTTTCTTTGTCATTGCCCATGCTTCAATGTTTTATATAATTTTATAAAATGATTTTATTTCGGTGTCCGTTCTAGCACTCCTTTTCAACGACCTTCTAATTGTTCCGCACGTATGGTTAAATTTTATCTTCTTCCGTTAGAAACGGTATTTGGCATCCCAAGATACTAAACCTTCAAAGTTGTTCTACAAATTCATTATTTATTATCATTTTTGAGCGAACAGACTGTGGCCCTAGAAATGACATTACATTAGTTGTCAAGTTCTTAAACAGATTAAACGTTCACGCATTTCCCCCTGTGCGTTCAGTTAATGAATTAGTGAAAGAAGCACTAGAAATAACAGCGAGTGCTCATGAGACTCTGAAATCATTCGTCCTTTTCTGATCTTAGTAGTGTGTGAAACAGAACTGGAGTTTGGTTCAAAGAAACTGCAATATTTAATGAGTTCTGGGGATGGTTCCCTCCAACACGAGTGTTAAAAGTTTTCCGATGTCAAAATTTGAAGTCCGCTGACAGCTCACACTGCTGTCCGTTTCAAAGTAAAATTGGCTTTAGAAAGAAAGAAAATTTTATGACTTATGGAAAAAGATTGCAGAGGGACTGAGGGTGGAGCGGGTGGTTATTATTATTGGATGCACGAGGGTGCAGGTCACGGATATGGAAGTCACGATTCGTTGTTCAGATCACCCTTCCTTTCTTATCACGCGCATGTCACGCGTATTCTGTTGCACGATAGGTTAATGAGACGCCGGAAGGGGGCTCCACACGTCGCTAAAGGATATCAATCCAGCTCCACCTATTGCTAGGAGTTCTCAATGGCGTCTCAGGTGTTTCACAGCAAAATGGAGGGTTTACTGGAAACAAACTAATACATGGTAGCAGAGCTTGAGAACTCAACGCCGATAATGTCAGAGGTCATCACTGGACACGATTCTGAATCACTTGCATAAACTTTCATCCTCACAACATACCTTCCTAATACCTTTCTCAGTGTTATCCTTCAATATCCGTCTTGGTATCCCAAGTGACTGCTTTCCAATACTTTAATCCAGAAATATTCTATAGGATCTGCATTTGTTGTCTCTGAGCTCTGACTAAATGTGAAGCTCATCGC